TGTGTGTATGTGTGTATGTATGTGTGTGTGTGTATGTGTGTGTGTGTGTGTGTGTGTGTGTGTGTTGTATTTGTGTGTGTATGTGTGTGTGTGTGTGTGTGTGTGTGTGTGTGAGTGTTAAACCATCGTGTATGGTAGATATGAGACGAAAATTATCCATAGCAGGAGCAGTGTTAACTTGAACAGATGAAGCTAATTGTAGCGTGTGCGTGTTGCATTGCACAGGTGCTGGCTGAATCTGCATTCACCTCTTGTACACGTGTAGCTAGTTCTAGCATACGAATGCTGTGTTGCAGATTAGGTTAGGTAAGATTCGTCAGGAAACAGGACAAGTGTTTCCTGACGAGGGTCTTAGTTACATGATAAACCCCCACGCTAAAGCTTTTGGTCATCTGACCGAAGCCTTCCACTTGCTTACCCGTCCACCCCTTTAAATATTAAGGTTAATGGTGTATTGCACATGTGGTGAACCCGTGTCCTCCACCTCTCGTACAAGTGTAGGTAGTTGAACGTTGACTACACAGCTGATAAATTCGTGACCTTCATCTGCCACACAGGTGTTCCCGTGTCTCCCTGTTCATCACAAATGAGATATGTTTTGTGTGGCGTCATGAAACAGCATAATGTCAGGTTCATGATGTCGCAGCATGCCTACACTATAGGCAAACTCACGGTGATAAGTTGCTATGATCAGACTTGCGATATATGAAGTGGGCAACAAATGCAGAACAAAATTATATCCAATTATTCATTTTGTTTGCAACTTTCATGTAAGAATGATTATATAACTTACATCTCACATTTTATGCCACAGTGAGTTATTCTCTTGAAATATTACACTTGTTTGTTGCTGTGCTATAATATATTAACTTTCAAATGCAGTTTTTTTTTTTATGAGTGTGTGTGTACTCACCTATTTGTGGTTGCAGGGGTCGATTCACAGCTCTTGGTGTACTCACCTATTTGTACTCGCCTATTTGTGGTTATAGGGGTCGAGACATAGCTCCTGGCCCTGTGTGTGTGTGTGTGTGTGTGTGTGTGTGTGTGTGTGTGTGTGTGTGTTGGTGTGTGTGTACTCACCTAGTTGTACTCACCTAGTTGAGGTTGCGGGGGTCGAGTCCGAGCTCCTGGCCCCGCCTCTTCACTGATCGCTACTAGGTCACTCTCCCTGAGCCGTGAGCTTTATCATACCTCTGCTTAAAGCTATGTATGGATCCTGCCTCCACTACATCGCTTCCCAAACTATTCCACTTACTGACTACTCTGTGGCTGAAGAAATACTTCCTAACATCCCTGTGATTCATCTGTGTCTTCAGCTTCCAACTATGTCCCCTTGTTACTGTGTCCAATCTCTGGAACATCCTGTCTTGTCCACCTTGTCAATTCCTCTCAGTATTTTGTATGTCGTTATCATGTCCCCCCTATCTCTCCTGTCCTCCAGTGTCGTCAGGTTGATTTCCCTTAACCTCTCCTCGTAGGACATACCTCTTAGCTCTGGGACTAGTCTTGTTGCAAACTTTGCACTTTCTCTAGTTTCTTCACGTGCTTGGCTAGGTGTGGGTTCCAAACTGGTGCCGCATACTCCAATATGGGCCTAACATACACGGTGTACAGGTGCGTGTGTGTGTGTGTGTGTGTGTGTGTGTGTGTATGTGTGTGTGTGTACCCACCTAGTACTCACCTGTGCGTGTGCGCCCGTGTTTTAGGATGATGTTCTTATCATTTTCACTAAATCATTGTGATATGCTATCCAAATGATATAGCTACTGAACAACTCCCTACTACCCTCCCCTCCCCCAAAATAATAACAATTGACTATATTCTCATTTCCTTAATTAATGAAGTTGACCAGCCCGAAATGACAGATTTCATTACTTATTTTTTTTTTTTGGAGCATCCATCCTGTACGATGGAATATGAGGTGAAATCCTTCAGTGTGAGGGATATCTTAGTTCTTGTTAGTTCTCATTCTGTTTATAAAATGTATAGATCAAGGTAGCCGCTCAATTCGGTATGGCCAATTTTGATAATGATAACTAATATTTTTAATTTATCTCTTCAAACAGGTGTAGTGTCTGATATGTGGAAGATGGCTAATGTAATTCCTATTTTTAAAACAGGGGACAAGTCGTTACCGTCAAATTACCGCCCAATAAGCCTGACCTCAATTGTAGGCAAATTACTAGAGTCAATTATAGCTCAGATTATAAGAAACCATCTCGATAAGCATAGCTAGATTAATGATACTCAGCATGGATTCACAAGAGGCCGGTCTTGTCTAACTAATTTATTAACTTTCTTCAGTAAAGCTTTTGAGAAATTAGACACATGTGCAACTCTTGGGTATCTTTATTGAGGAAACGTTTCGCCACACGGTGGCTTCATCAGTCCATACAAAGGAGAATCTTGAAGAATAGGAGGAGAATGAGGTAATCAGTCCCTCAACCTTGAGTCGATGTGGTCAGTCCACATCGACTCAAGGTTGAGGGACTGATTACCTCATTCTCCTCCTATTCTTCAAGATTCTCCTTTGTATGGACTGATGAAGCCACCGTGTGGCGAAACGTTTCCTCAATAAAGATACCCAAGAGTTGCACATGTGTCTAATTTATCAACATGTCGGTTCTCTGAACCATTCGTCTACAAAGCTTTTGAGGCTGTTGACCACGATAAAGAATTTGATATTATTTACTTAGATTTTAGTAAGGCTTTTGATAGAGTTCCGCACCAAAGACTGTTGAAGAAAGTAGCAGCTCATGGCATTGGGGGAAGGGTGCTCTCATGGATCGAATCATGGCTCACAGACAGGAAGCAGAGAGTGTCCATAAATGGGGTTAAATCCGAGTGGGGATCAGTAACAAGTGGCGTTCCACAGGGATCAGTCTTGGGCCCGTTGTTGTTTATAATATATATCAATGATCTTGATGGAGGAATTACTAGTGATATGAGCAAATTTGCCGATGACACGAAGATAGGTAGGATAATTGATTCAAACGTAGATGTTAGGGAACTTCAGGAGGATTTAGACAAACTCTACTCTTGGTCAGAAAAGTGGCAGATGCAGTTCAATGTAGATAAATGCAAGGTTCTGAAGCTCGGGAGTGTCCATAACCCTAGCACTTATAAGTTAAATAATGTAGAACTTAACCATACAGATTGCGAAAAGGACTTGGGGGTTATGGTAAGCAGCAACCTTAAACCAAGACAGCAATGCCTAAGCGTACGTAATAAGGCAAATAGATTACTGGGATTTATATCAAGAAGTGTAAGCAACAGAAGTCCAGAGGTCATACTGCAGCTTTATACATCATTAGTAAGGCCTCACCTAGATTATGCAGCTCAATTCTGGTCTCCATATTACAGAATGGACATAAATTCGTTAGAAAACATTCAGCGTAGGATGACTAAATTAATACATAGAATTAGAAATCTTCCTTATGAAGAAAGATTGAAGACTCTTAAGTTACATTCTGTAAAGTAAAAGGACACAAGTGCAACTAATGTGACATTTAAATGTCACATTAGTTGCACTTGTGTCCTTTTACTTTACATATTGTCGGTAATTCTACCAACTTTATTACAATAAGTTACATTCACTTGTTAGACGAAGAATGAGGGGAGACCTGATCGAAGTGTATAAGTGGAAGATAGGTATTAATAAAGGGGATATTAACAAGGTCTTGAGGATATCTCTCCAAGAGAGAACCCGCAGTAATGGATTTAAATTAGATAAGTTTAGATTTAGAAAGGACATAGGAAAGTATTGGTTTGGAAATAGGGTAGTAGATGAGTGGAACAGTCTACCTAGTTGGGTTATTGAACTTTGGGTAGTTTCAAATTTAGGTTTACCTGGAGTTTACCTGGAGAGAGTTCCGGGGGTCAACGCCCCCGCGCCCCGGTCTGTGACCAGGCCTCCTGGTGGATCAGCGCCTGATCAACCAGGTTGGATAAATACATGAGTGGGATGGGTTGGATTTGAGTGGGACTTGCACATCAGAGCTTATTTCTTGGGTAGCATTGAAAATTGGGTTGGTCAAATGTTTGTTAGTGGGATGAATTGTAAAGGACCTGCCTAGTATGGGCCAACAGGCCTGCTGCAGTGTTCCCCCTTTCTTATGTTCTTATGTTCTTATAAAAAAATGTTATCCGTGAAATACAGTGTGTGAAATTTTAACAATAAAAAATAACGGATCCCTCAAATCTATGTATAGATAGATCTGGAAAATTTGACTGCACGGGTTTAGGTGTCACATTAAACATATATGCGAACAATAATGTATGTTCAATTATGTTTAGGTTCCAAAAATCGATATGGCAGCAATAAGTTAGCATTCTGATGTTAAAAAATTAAGTATGTGAAGGGCAATGAATATTTAGACGTTCTCAACGTTAATTATTAATATTTTCTGATAGCGACAATGATATTGTTTATCTGTCCATGTGTGGGTATGATTAGTCATTGTGTTACCATACGAAGCTGGAAAAAGATACATAGCTTCAATAATGCCATATAACGCAGTTATGTAGCTCTCACAATGGTGTACATGAGTGAAATTTTCCTCATGCGCTGCACTGCATTATTTTAAGCAGCATTTAAGTTTTAGGAATAGTTTGCGATATATGCTGTATATTGGAAGTGGCTTTCATTTCAACGTGCATTTGTATCAAACAGGATTTGTATCATAATGTCATTAAACTGTAGCCAGTTGAGCTGTAAACCCAACCATTGTAACTTCCACGTATGCTTCTAAGAAATAGAACTTCAATTTTCAGTTTCATTTTCTCTTCCAGATTAACTAAGTCAAAAGAACCGCTGCTGTTTTGCGATTCAAGTCAATCTTCCAAACTCGCCTAACAAAGTAAATAAATTATAAATATTTGTGCTTAGCTCTTGTATTATCTCATTGATGTAGTATTTGTAATCAGCAAGAACATGAAGGATTTTGCCATTTTGATTTATTATTTGCCATATAATTAATCGCCGACTCTTACCATAACAAAAGCCAGGGACGCGCCGAGTGAACGCGCAGAAGGATTGTCTGCGTTTACTTGAGTGACCTACTTCTTAATTAGTACCCTTGATAAAGTTGGATGTAATACCGAAGTAAGGGCGTGATTGAAGTATTGATTGCTGGATTGATATTGTGAGATAGCGGCGTGGTAGGGGAAGGAGAGAGGAAGATTTGTAGGTGGCGCTGGCGCTCAACCCAACACGGAGTTGCTTGAGGCCAGTTTTGGAATGCCAAGGTTATATTGGTTAGTTATGTGAGTGCTTGTACCACGGGCATCGTCACACCTCACACATGTAATGTTCACGCTCTCTTGACCTACGTGATAAACCCGTAGGCCCGCTGCCTCCAGTGAAGTGAATTCCCCAGTAGCAAAGTAAAGGGACACAGCCAAAATGACATCAATAGGAAAATTTGTTCTCAGCTGATGTATTCTTTGCTGTATTAACAAACACAGTGATAAACACAGGTCAACAGAACTGTTTTGGATGAGTCTAATTGTGTTGGAGTGTGGTGTTTAAGGAAATGTCATCATGGAAAAATTTGGCACTTAGCCAGAAATGAGAATGAAGAAAAAATGAGTGTTGGTTGCTTCTCTATTCTTAGTAAGTAAGTGTTTATTTAGGTCTTGTACTTAATTTTAAGCTTTTACATGGTTTTACATTATAAATTATGTAGAACTGAATTTAGGATAACCCCAAAGTTTAACAATGTGATTTACTTTTGTTGAGGTCCTTGTGTTCTCTAGCTACATAATGTTTTTATTTTTATAAAGGCATATATACGTGATGTCTTATTCTCTTTTCTTAGTGTTGTTAATAAAAGTAAATCAGCATAAAATTAATACACCAAATCAAGAACAAATTATGAATTAACAGTAAAAGAAATAACTATCCTCCTTTTCTATAGCTTCATTCATTAAATATTTTTTGGCTGTATTCTTGAATTGCTTAATTTTAAGACTAGCCTGGACATGATCCAGTAACCAGTTCCTCCTCCTTCAGGATGCTTGCAGTTTACTTTACTCCATGAGTTGTAGTATTTTCACAATTATTGTGTTGGTTCAGTAATGACTGTTGTCACTGTTGGTTGCTTAGTAAGTAATTTTATTCAGGTACACATAAATTCCATTACATAAATTATCATGCATAGCAGCATATGTAGATTACCTAGGATAGCTCAAAAAAGGTCAGTGACCTATTTTCATTGGGGTCCTTGATGGAATCATTGTCTTTGTATTTCTCTTGCTTCTGCTGAAAATTTGATATATTATGGTGTTTGTGTGTAGATATTGCCCTGTGTATTCATAGTTTCTAATAGCTGAGTTAATACTTTTAACTGTTCTGCTGAGGTCATACCTCCCAAAATGTTTTCATTGGTGTATGGAATTTTGAGGGTGGCAGGTTTGTGTTTCAAGATGGTTCTTGCATTGTAATGTTTAAAATGGTACAATAAAGATAGTTTTAAAAGTGTGTGGGGGTACTCATTCAATGAATATATCATATTCTTTGGAGTGATATTCGTGTGGCTCAGTTGGCAGCACACTCATCGCATATACTAAGTACCCATGGTTCAATCCCCAACTTGGGTGGAAACGTTGGGCATGTTTCTTTACACCCACTGTCACTGTTCACCTAGCAATAAGTAGGTACCTGAGTGTTAGTCAACTGTTGTAGATTGCATTCCAGAAGGACAAGATTAAAGGAACTCATTGGAAATAAGATTCCCAATGACACACTAACTTTATCAGCTTATCCAGGGTGGCAAACCCTCTGGGTTAAAAATTCAAAAAAATCTTATCTTATGAGTATGGAACATAGATATACAAGTTCCTAATCAATCACAGTTTAATGTATCTCCCACCCTGATCTTTCCTCACTCAACACTATTGTTAATGAAGAATTCATAAAAATAACCTGGATGACTGTCAGTAAATTTACACTTATTGTAGACAACCTTCTATGTTATGTTTGGGAGTAGAACAGGAGAGGTCCAATTAAACATTATGTTGAACAACACCCCTATTGCTAAACATAGTGAGGGAAAATTTCTGGGTCTTCACCTTGACAGCAACTTGAAATTCAACACCCATATCCAATACATAACAAAAAAAAGTATCTGAAACAGTTGGCATCCTCTCAAAGATATGCTGCTATGTACCACTAAACACTACTTACACTATACTATTCACTAATCTACCCCTATCTCACGTATGCTATTTGTGCCTGGGGTTCCACAACAACAAATCTCCTAATGCCAGTAATAACCCAACAAAAAACTGTAGTGCGAGTGATCACATAATCCACTGCTAGACAACACTCACTCCCCCCCCACTCTTCAAAGACCTAAACCTACTCACTATACAAAACATTCACTCATCCTAATGTGCACACTACATTTAAAGAACAATCAGTTCTAATATAAATCCCAAAGCACTTTTCTTGACAGTTGCAATAGGACCTATAGACATAATACTAGGCACAATAGTCTCTCTGACATTTCCTGTGTCAGGCTAAATCTCTTCAAAAATTCAGTGTATATAAAGGGCCCAGAATCTGGAACTCTGCCAGAAATCTCCAGAACCACTGACTCAGCTAGCATTTTCAAAACTACCATTAAAAACACCTTAATTCCTTAGCCTATCCCAGCCCATCATAAATACATATGTAAAAACTATACATGCATTTGCTCAGTATCATGAACATAGGTAAATCATTACAGGTGCTCCTCACTTAACGACATACCTGTTTAACGACCGCTCAGACTTACGACCAGCTCTCCGACCAGTGTACTGTACGTGTATTTTACTTTTTTATGTTTTTTAATGCCAAGTTCTATTTTTAATATACTAAAAATGTTATAAATGGTACAAAGGTGACATTAAAACAATTCCTAAAGATGGTTGACACAAACCCACTATCAGTACAGTATGCTTGGAATATCAGTAAGGGGTGGCTCCTTGCTTAATAACCAGTTTGCTTACCGACCTACTATTAGGAACAGAACTTTGTCATTAAGTGAGGAGTACCTATATGAGCAATGTGTACTTACTCTCAATATACATGTATGTAATCCTCCCAAACATGTCAGCTTTAGGTTAATAATCAAAACTGTAATTCCTCTCTATCAAACTTATTAAAGCCATATAGCATGAACTAATAGAATATTCAATTCTCTTGTATTCATTGTAAACTCCTAAATTTAAAATTACTCACCTAAGTGACCATATGTACAAAATTACTCGTATTATTATTGCCTTATTAATCTTAAGTTAGTCTTAAGTTTGCCTGAAATGCTTTGCATTTAAAGGGACTTTCGGCATGTACTCCGAATTGTCATACTCCTTTGTACAAACATGTATCATGTTAAAATAGACTTCTTATTCTTATTCTGTTTAGGTAGGTACAACCAAATGGTAAGTAAGTTTATTCAGGTGCTGGTAACACATGCCGTATTTCGCAGCTTATTAGATGCATTTTTTTTTTTCCATGAAATGTCTCCAAAAACTACCGTGCATCCTATAAACTGAAGGTCAGTGATGGGAGCTATAAGTTTGGGGTGTGGGGTGGGCTGTAGCTCTCCCAGTTACATCTGATGCCAAACCATTGAAACTAAAACAAGTCTTATAAGCCGTGATATACGGTAAATACAGTTACCTAAATTATCATACATAGCAGCATATGTGTAGATTACCTAGGATAACCCAAAAAAAGTCAGTGACTTGTTTCCATTAAGGTGCATTTACTTTATGCAAACTGATGACAAGTACTGTTACTCCTCTATTCAAAAATGCTTCTAATGAATACATCCCCTTGCACAATTCACATCTGTTATACTGTATTTACTGTTGTGCCCTCAAACCATTATCACAATATAGATATATTGTTGCATTCTTTGTTGCTTGGTGTAATGCTTTGTTTCATAATTTAATACAAGATTATTATTTTAAATTAGTTGGTTAGTGAATATCCAATTAAGCTGACATATTTACTAAAGAGGAAATTTTTACCTTGTTATTTTGAAATGTTTTTAATGTGTTTCTTATTTTAATTTTTAAGTTCAAAGTTATTGCATTACAGTATAAAATTCTTTGATAATAAAATACTGAGCAGGAAGCTAAACAGCAAGTACTGTATATAACTTATAAGTAACAGGCATTAATTCAGTAAACCATTGATTTAATGAACTAAGTGGTAATGACTGTTGTGGCAAATAGGTACGAAATTATTTTGCCATGTTAGCAACAATGTTGGACAGTTTTGTAACTTATGGACTTAGTCCATTGTATCCAGTTCAGTTGAAATGTTGAATTTTGTTCCTTTCGAAGTGTTTTAAATTTGGGTCTGTTAAATTGAGAATTTACTGTTATATATATTAAACAGATAGACAAACTGAAACAAAATAAGTCCCCGGGACCCGATGAGTTGTTTTCAAGGGTACTTAAGGAATGCAAGATGGAGCTTAGTCAGCCATTAACGAGTGTATTCAATGCGTCCATCCTTACCAGTGTTGTGCCAGAGTTGTGGAAGATGGCTAATGTGGTTCCTATATTCAAATCAGGGGATAAGTCCACTCCTTCAAATTACCGTCCAATAAGCCTGACATCTATAGTGGGCAAGTTATTAGAATCAATTATAGCTGACATTATCAGAAGTCACCTTGAAGAGCATAACTTGATAAATGAATCTCAGCATGGATTCACGAGAGGTCGTTCCTGTCTGACAAACTTACTGACGTTCTTCAATAGAACATTTGAGGCAGTTGACAGTGATAAGGAATATGATATTGTTTATTGGATTTTAGTAAAGCCTTCGACAGAGTACCTCACAATAGACTCTTAAGAAAAGTGGCAGCTCATGGTTTAGGAGGTAAAGTTCTAGCATGGATTGAGGCATCGCTTACCAATAGAAAGCAGAGAGTTACCATTAATGGAGTGAAATCTGAATGGGGATTAGTCACTAGTGGCATTCCACAAGGATCAGTTTTAGGCCCTCTCCTGTTCCTAATTTACATTAATGACCTTGATGAAGGGATTACTAGTGACATGAGTAAGTTTGCTGATGATACAAAGATAGGCCGTATAATTCACTCTGAGGAGGATATCAATGAACTCCAGGACGATTTGAACAAATTAATGTCTTGGTCTGAAAAATGGCAGATGAAGTTTAATGTGGATAAGTGTAAGGTACTTGCCCTTGGTAATGAAAATAACCCTCGAAGCTATAATCTAGGTGAAGTAGAGCTTGGTCATACAGAATGTGAAAAAGACTTGGGAGTCATGGTAAGCAGAAATCTAAAGCCAAGACAGCAGTGCCTTAGTGTGCGCAACAAGGCCAACAGATTACTTGGATTTATCTCAAGAAGTATAAGTAACAGAAGTCCAAAAGTTATTTTACAGCTCTATACATCACTAGTGAGGCCTCATTTAGATTATGCTGCTCAGTTTTGGTCCCCTTACTACATGATGGACATAGACTCATTAGAGAACATACAGAGAAGAATGACTAAAATGATTTACTGTGTAAGGAACCTCCCGTATGAAGATAGACTTAAAGCCTTAAATCTCCACTCTCTGGAGAGGCGTAGAATGAGGGGAGATATCATTGAAGTGTATAAGTGGATGAAGGGCATCAACAAGGGAGACATTAATAAAGTACTGAGGGTGTCGAACCAGGTAAGAACCAGGAATAATGGATTTAAGTTGGATAAATTTAGATTTAGAAAGGGCATAGGTAAGTACTGGTTTTCTAACAGAGTTGTAGATGCGTGGAACAGTCTTCCCAGTGGGGTGATAGAGGCTAGGACCTTGGGTAGCTTTAAGAAGAGACTGGACAAATATATGAGTGGGAGGGGCTGGGTTTGATTGGTGTCAAGGGGTACGGGAGTTATTTCTTGAGTAGCTTTAGGTAGATGTCGTTTTGATAAGGACCTGCCTCGTATGGGCCAGTAGGCCTTCTGCAGTGTTCCTACATTCTTATGTTCTTATGTTCTTATATAATTCCTAGGCAATGTATTGTAGTGTCACTGCTGACTGTTGAAAGTATGGTGTAAGTCATGCAGCCAGATGTGACCATGAGATTATCTGTTAATGCTTGAATCACATTGGTTAAATTAAAAGAAAATATACACAGTGGACCCCCGGTTTACGATATTATTTCATTCCAGAAGTATGTTCAGGTGCCATTACTGAACGAATTTGTTCCCATAAGGAATATTGTGAATTAGATTAGTCCATTTCAGACCCCCAAACATACACGTACAAACGCACTTACATAAATACACTTACATAATTGGTCGCATTGGGAGCTGATTGTAAAGCGGGGGTCCACTGTATTGGCTAATGTACTGTAGTCACATAAACTGTTCTTTTACCAGTTTGCTGAAAGGTATAATGCCTTAGAATCCATGGCAGCAAGAACAGGTGCAGTAATATTGTTTGCCAGATTTCAATGGCAGCTGTCTATAAGTGTGGCTTAGCTTCCAACCTGACTCCTAGTCAGTAAATTGACACCAAAACATTCTTTATTTTTATAAGTAGTACAGGGTTTCAATTCAATAACTATTCCACCAGCTGTACTTGGAAATAAGTAACTCGACTTTTTTGGGTCATTTTAGGTAATTTACACTATGTATGATAATTGTACTTACGTGTACCTGTGTCAAAATAAACTTACTAATGATATAAATTCAATAAACATACAGTATGTCTCATTGATAATGGTTTTAGTAGATAATGTATTCAGTAAATAATATGCATTGTGCATTATTATCATTATTATATTAAAGGCACAACACCAATTTTTCCAGCACCCTTGGTTCGTAGACTTGTCTGGTATGTTGATTTTTGCCAGACCAACAGAGGCCATGTAACAATAATTTAACAATACAACTCTGAACCACCATGGTCTATTGGAAACTTAAATTAAACATTAGTATAAATAAAACAAGTTTATTTATTACTATACTTACAAAGAATGTTGCAGTACTACCACTCCCTAAGTGGTAAATTTAAAAATTTCACTTGAGCTGCAGGGGTGGCCTGGTGGCTAAAGCTTCCGCTTCACACACGGAGGGCCCGGGTTCGATTTCCCGGCGGGTGGAAACATTTCGACACGTTTCCTTACACCTGTTGTCCTGTTCACCTAGCAGCAAATAGGTACCTGGGTGTTAGTCGACTGGTGTGGGTCGCATCCTGGGGGACAAGATTAAGGACCCCAATGGAAATAAGTTAGACAGTCCTCGATGACGCACTGACTTTCTTGGGGTATCCTGGGTGGCTAACCCTCCGGGGTTAAAAATCCGAACGAAATCCTATCCTATCCTATCCTATCCAAAAGTTAATTATTAGCAAAATACAGTGGACCCCCGCCTTATGATCAGCTCCCAACTCGACCAATTATGTAAGTGTATTTTTTTAAGTGCTTTTGTACGTGTATTTTTGGGGGTCTGAAACGGACTAATCTAATTCACAATATTCCTTATGGGAACAAATTCGGTCTATAACGGTACCCGAACAGACCTCTGGAATGAAATAATATCGTAAGGTGGGGTCCACTGTATTCTAAGAATCCCACAGAATCAAGATCACAATCAACTGTAGTGTAAACAATATAAGTGAAGGCACACTACATACAATGTCGTCTGTGGCTGCCAGGTCAACTATTTTGGCAAAAAAATAGTCTTTATAATTTTGTCTGGACTGAAAGAGGTGCCAGACGATCTGTTGCCGGTAAATTAGTTTTGTACTGTATATTCGTAGGTAAATACTAAATATGTAGGGATCATACATTACTAGGGAAATAGGAGGTAATCAGGCTTAATATGAGGAAAAGGAGGATAACTTCCTTGAATCAAGAGCACTTCACCTACAAACAGGCATCTTTACAATAATGTGAAGTAGGTTTTACAGTTAACATTTAAAGTGATAGGGGGGTTTGCATTACAATGTACTTACTAGATACAATACTAAAAGACTTTTGCTTATAATACAAAAATAATTTAATATGATAGTAAGTTCAAAGAATATTTTTAAAGTTCATTTTTTTTTTTTTTAGTTACAGCTGAGTTGTTGAAGCGATGCCAGGATTGCGGTCGCTGGTAGCACGGAGGAGGTCTTCCCTGGCATCTCCACCTTATGTCTCCAGCCCCAGCCCCATACCACTCAGCTTGCCTGAGATATACGTTAATGATGGTAAGGGAGAGAAATTGGAAAGTGAGGATTACCAAACCCCAGAACAGGTGACTGTAAACGGGGAAATGAGTCAAAATGATGATAATACTGTTAACATACACGAGACAGATAACAGTGATTGTGTGACACCACAGCAACAAAGTTCGAGTGATGAAAGTAACCAAAATAAAGAAACATCAGGTGTAGAGAAAAGTGAAAGTGTGGAGACAGATGGAGTAACGGCTGTGAGTGATAAAGAAATAACCCAAAACCAAAATTGCTCTGATAAAGAATGTGTTGAAACTGACGGTGCTCAAAGTATATCAGAGTCATGCAAGGAGGTCCAAAATCAGGAATCTATAGATCCAGAGCTTATTGAAAACAGCACGCTAGAAGTATCAAATGCGAACGAGACAAGCCTAGAAGACAAAAAAGCTGATGTTGATCATGTAGCTGATGAAGATGCAGAGGAAAAAACTAGAGTGAGTGATGAAAAAGTAGTAAATGTGAGTGCAGAAGAGGAAAAACAAGATGAAGAAACTACCGATATAGTTATACAAAATGAGAGTGCACCTGAAGTGGGTGAAAAAAATGAAAAAGAGAAAGATAAAGAAGTGAATGAAAGTAAAGGAACTACGCATTTAGATCACATAGTCAGCAACAGTAATCCTGAAATAGAAATTATTGATGAGAAAATTGAAGAGTTTCCTTCCTTAGAAAAAAATAGTTTGAACCAGAGCTCAGTTAATCTGAAAGAAAAACGATCAACTCCCAATGATGGAAGTGGAAAGGAGTCAAGTGAAAGACTTTCCATCACAAATTCTGAAGATCACACAAAGCCTCAAACCAAACTTTCTGTTAGTAGTAACCAGGATAATGATACTGGACAAAAAAGTGAAAATGAGTTATCAGCTTCTGCTAAAAAAAATTGTGCTAATAAATGTGTAAAAAGATCAGCAATGGAGATTGAATCAACATTAGCCAGTCGAGGTGTAACCATTGTGAGGAGGATTGTTGATAATGCAGAGACAGTTGGCAAAACAAAGAATGATTCCATGCAGAATGCCAAAAAAGATAGGATTATTAACAGTAGCTCTGTAATTACAGCAAATCCACAGGTTTCTGTATCAAGTGGAAATTTTTTATCACAGTCAGCCAACAGATCTATGTCAGCTAGTTATAGCTTGAAAGGACTTGCATCTATCAGAATGCAAAGGGGGTCATCAGTTCAACACTTTTCAGGTGGACATATTGGTCGTTCAGTATCAAAAGACTTCTATAGACCCATGAATTCAAGAGGAGCACTTGTTCAGGCAGGTCCAAAAGCACTCCCAGTGCTTACAGATTCAAAAGGATCTACTCAAACAAATTTTAGAGGTATTACCATACATCCAAATTCAAAATATTCTTCACATCCAGCTTTCAGAGGAATGGCCATGAACTCAAATTTAAGATCTCCAGGAACACTAACAAATAATAGAGGCCTCAAAATGGATGAAACTCTAAAAGGACTAAGTACACATACACCAAAAGGATTTGTTGCACATTCACATCCCAGAGGGCCTTTATTGAATAACACTCTTGGAGGGGCTGCTAAGCAGGCAAACCTTAGAGGAAATGCAGTGACCACTGACTCCAGGGGACTGCATGGATATCTGAATACTAAAGAATCATTAAGATACACAACTCCGAAAGGACCCACACAGAGACCTAATTCGGTTGGTATGCCTCCTCAATCCAAATCAGCTGTTTTTTCTCCTCGTATTAGACAAGTTACACCACAGCAGTCAAGGCCTGTAGAAAATCAGTCACAACTACATTCTCTAGGACCTAATCGCTCAAAGTCTGTCGATGTATCTTTGTTGTCTAGGTCAAAAGAAATTTCTCCTCAGTTGGGATCTGACATGTCTCCACATGCACAATCCACAACAATGTCTCCACAGTCAAGACCTGCCGAGATGTCTCCACAGTCTCGCACAGCAAAAATGTCACCACAGTCACAATCTGTTGATGTGTCTCCACAGTTCAGGACAGTTGACTTGCTATCGCAGTCTAAATCTAATGAAATGGGTTTGTCAAGGCCTGTTGACACAGTTGTATCTCCACAGTCTAGATCATCAGATGTATCACCTCAATCTAGGTCTGCTCAATTTTCTCCCCAATCTATCCATACAGGAATTCATCCACATTCAAGGTATACAGGGATGTCTCCCCAATCTGGGATGGCAGACTTGTCACCACAATCAAGATCTTTAGGAATGATTCCTCACTCAAGCTCTGCTGATGTATCTCCCCAGTCAAGGTCTGGCATTCCTTCTCAGTCTGGACTTCCTACACAATCGGTCACTACTACCTCCACTGGACAATCTTCACAGATGAATTTAATGGGAGTCTCTCCACAGTCCAATATTATAGGACCCCTGCAAGAATCAAGTAATGAGAGACTTGCACCACGCACTAGTTCAGCGGCTCTCCTATCTCAAGCTAACTCCCTGGGAATCTCTTCACACATGATCAGTTCTGATAGATTCTCTGCAAGTACTACCTCTAATGAGTTCCCTGCACTCCCAGCTTCTTCAGGATTTATTGGGTGTTCTAGCAATGAAGCATTCCCAACTTACAACAATTCAGGGGAGTTTTCCTCTCATACTAATAATAATGAATACTCTCCTCAAATAAGCTCTGGAGGGTTTAACATGCATTCCAATTCAGGAGGATTTTCCATGCAGTCTAACCTTGTAGGATTTCCAACACAGACTAATTCATGTGGATTTCCTCAGCATGCCAGTTCTGGAGAATACTCATCCCGTAATCCTGTAGGAATCATTGGACAGACAAACTCAGAGGGGTTCAGTACACATTCAAGTTGTGGCAATTTCCCTACTCAAATAAATTCTGGAGGATATACCCCTCATTCAAGTAGTGGGCCATATAATGCTCAGACAAACTCTGGGGAATTTCGTGAAAATTCTATTGACATGATGATGTATCATGCATCAAGAGATTTCTCTATGCATGCTAACAACAGAGAATTTTCTGGTTATAGTACCCCCAATCATTTGCCTATGAATCATAGCTCCAGAGAGTTGTTGCAAAATTGCAACCAAGGATTGCCTTTGCCTTCAAATACTGGTACTCCTTCAATAAATTCTGTCCTAGGAGAACAGTACCCACAGTCAAACTATGGTGACTCGCTTGTTCATCCTGGCTATAGAGAGGCATCTTTACATTCCAGAGTCACCCCTGGAGAAGTTCCAGTGCTTCCTGATTTCAGAGAATCATCCTTACGACATTCATACAGAGATCCTTCTGGACCTCCCAGTTACAGTAATTTTAGAGAGTCCAGTTCACAGGATAATTCAAGAGGTTCACAATCGCATAGCTATAGAGATATGCCTTTGCATTCTAACATGGGTGAACTCCAGGCTCATACAAGCACCAGAGAACAAAACCCTCATGCCAGTTTTAAAGAACAATCTGGCTCTGCTGGATACAGAGGACAAAATATTTTAGGCAGTTACATGGAGTCATCAGCAATTCCCAACTTCAGAGAAACTCTGAACCTTGGTAACTGCAGAGAACAGCCTCTTTCAAACTTCAGAGAAACTGTAAATCACTCCAGCCCCAGAGAGCAAGTTCTTCCAAGTTACAGAGAGAATATAAGTCATACTAGTCCCAGAGAACCAATTCTTCCATCTTTTGGGGAGCCTATCAGTCATCCTAGCCCTGGAGAGCAAGTTATTCCAAATGTTAGGGAATCTTTAAACCATACAAGCCCTAGAGAACAAATTCTTCCTTCTTTTGGAGATCCTGTCAGCAATTCTAGTCCTAGAGAGCAAGCCCTTCCAAGCTTCCGAGAACCTGTAAACCATGCTAGCCCTAGTACTGAAGTTCTTCCCTGCTTTCAAGAACCTGGTACCCATTCCAGCCCTAGAGAGCAAGTTCTTCCTTCCTTCAGAGAAAATGTAAGCCATACTAGCCCAAGAGAACAAATTCTTCCAAGTTTTCAGGAAACTGTAAACAGTACCACTCCAAAACAGCCATATATCCCAACTTTCAGAGATCCAGATACCTACAACAGTTTTACAGATTCAATAAATCCTAATAGCTCTTGTGAACAAACTATTAATCCTAACTCTAAAGAAATGCTTAATTTTACAACAGGTTGTAGACAACCAAATGTTTCTAATTTAGTTTGCACTGATAAACCAGTAGAAGATAATGGTTACAGAGAATCTCAAACTGTTCCAAATTTCAGAGTCAATTCTCAGCATATGAATCTTGATGAGCCACCCATTGACCTAAAATACATGGAAGCAAGCCTTGCTAACAGCTATACAAAATCATCAGCCCTTCCTAGTTTTACTGAATCCTTTGAGCACACTAGTCCCAATGACTTACTTAGAAAAAATGATAACACCAGTCTAGGACTCCCGAGTTTTAGAGATTCGTCCCATTACTGTACCCCAAGAAATGTGTCTGATTGTGACAGCTTCAGAGAATCTTCTCTATCTCCAAGCTCAAGATCACCTGGATATACAAATACAAGAAATTCTTGTGCTTCTTGGCAAACTGGGGAGCTGCTCTCATATTCAGATACTGGAGAATCGCCTATTTACTCATGTACAAATGATTCTAGTGATTCTCCAGTAAGAGAGAGTGCTATTTGTAACAGGAGTGAATCCCTTGAATGTTTAAGTTCAGTATATTCTTCAGCAAACCTTGATGCAAAAAATGCTGATGTTCAAGTCAGGAGTAGAGATTCAGACATTCTTTCTGCCAATAGAGATGGCTATCTGCCAGAGAAATCTCTGATTCAAAATACTGATGTTGCACGGGCTTATCATGATGCAACAAACTCTCCAGATTACTCAGGTGTGATAGAATCTGTTCCTCATGGTATGGGTGAGTCTTATCTTGATTCAGGTACAGAAATATCTGTTCACTCTGGTACAAATCATTCTACCCAATTGTGTGAAGATTTGCCACAAAGCTTAAGAGATTTGCCTATGGAATCTGCTTCTTTGAGTCCTACAGATCTTCCCAGAGATTTTGAAGAAACAGAGTTGTCCAATCAGGAGTTAACTTCACTGGATGCTATTCCAAAGGAGTTTTGTGAAACTGCTCCTTCAAGTCCAACACCTCGGCACCTAAATAAATCTCCAGTACATTCAAAATGTGTTACATCACCTGTAGATAATAGTTCTCTTGGATCTCCCAGCTGCTCTGATTCTTTAGGGTCCCCTGAGAAACTTTCTTCAGTAGTTTCTTCTATAAAATCTGACTCGGGAGCTTCTCCTAGTTCTCAGGAAAGAATAGTTATAAAAATGAAATTACTTCATAGTGATTTAGGAAGTGAAAATGACAGACATAATAGTACAGAAAATGCAAGCATTACTGAATTGAGATTAGATAGCAGGAATTCAGTGAAATATCCTATGGCAAAATATACCCGCTGGACAATAGACAGCATAATAAATGGTAGAGAGGATATGTGTAGTGAAGAAGGGTCAGATAAAGTTTGTAAGGATGATGAACAAAAGATAGTAAAAGAAGAATTACATTTAAAAGAAGATGGCAAAACTTCTTTATCTTCAAGCCCTAAAAGGATAAATAAACGAAGAAGCTCTGAGATGTGTAGCGAGTCAAAAGACCCTAAACTAGATACAAACAAGAATTTTATGAAAAAAACACTTAGAATTACAATTTCTAATCCATTACGAACCAGAGTTTCAACAGTCGATGATTGTGTAGATGTAAAACTAAAAGAAAATGATGATAGCACAGTAGTGAAGTGTGAAAGATTTCCAGAGAAGAGAAATGAAATCGTGCAGCCAGTCACAGTCAGCATAGTGCGTAAGAGTAGTAGGTTGCAAAAAGAGTCTCAAAGTCAAACTCCTTTGTGTTCAACTAGAAAATTGAAAGGTAGACACTTGAAATCTCCATCACCAGCTCCAAGTATTGAAAGTTTTGCCAGCTCAACTAGTGCCTCACGTGCATCCTGCGATAGTAGGAGGTGTAGTCAGAGTAGCGAGACTTCAGCATCATCAGTGACAAGTATACTTAGTGAAGGTAGTGATCATTCAGTTGTTGCTGAGATGAAGAAGTGTAGTATTGTCATTAAACGTATATATGCAACAGATAATTACAGCTGTTATAGTAGTAGCTTATGTGATAAAAAAGTTGTGTTAAAAAACCAAGATGTACATTCAACAAGACCAAAACGTAAAGCAGCTATCGAAGCCACTTTAAAATGCCATAAATCTTTGAAAACGTGTGATACAAATGATGCCAAAACCAAACTTCCCCTTAATGGTGCATTTGATAAGGGAAAAAATTTTGTGTCAGTGAATGTTGAAAAAAAGACCCTGCATAATAATATTGGTATACCTCGGTGCTCAGTTCTTTTGTATGATGTTTTTATGAATCGTCGCATAAACAAAATGGAGTGTCCTGGCTGTTCTCGGCACTATGATAGTACTGACAGTGTTCAAGTCAACATAAATAAAGCGACAATATCACTTCTTTGTTCAGCGTGTCAGTGGTTGGTGGTTAAGGATGTTCACCCACGTGAAGTTGACTCAATGGCTCCCAGCTGAGACAGGCTAAAGCAGTTTTGTTTATATTTTTGAGTTTAAAATTTTTGATGCATGGGACATGAGATTTAAGAAAATGAGAATTCATACATGTAGCATAAAATGTTATTTGTGTGGCTGCTATATTTTGAGCAAGTGTTTCATTAAGTACAAGTTTGCATTGTTAAAGATGCATCACCCCCTAATAATGTGCAACTTACAAACTACATACTATATACTTCTCATCACAGTAAGGCCTAGTCAGTCACTTTTTTAATATTGAACCTTGCTGAATATGCGGATTTGTAATTAGACCCAAGTACACAAATTAAGGGATAAAGAATTTGATAGCTGTGTGGATTAAGCTTTCTTGGTGCTTATTTATTGTAGTACAGATCTGTTATATTTTAATTATTGTATATAAATGAATGGAAAGCACTTACTGCACAACTTTACAGGCTGTCCTACTTAAGGAGTTGTGGCTTGGACTCTTTATTCTTGAATGTAAATTTTTTTTTGTTTTGAGATGGAATATTGAAGTAGTTTGTGTAATGACCTGAGCACTTGTATTTTTGCCTGCATAGAGGTATAAAACCAATCATTGGAAGAGGTGATTATATTCAGCTATTTCTGCTCTTGGATTCTTTTCATATTATGGCACAATATCATATTCTCAATCCCTTTTTTATACATGTAATACACAGCAAAATATGCTGTGGAACTGTCATGAACATAAGCTCAGTATTTTAAGCGTTTTATTTTTTCTGTGTTCTGGTTTCATAAAGCAATGGATGTGAAATTTAACTATGATAGAATCCTTTGTGTTGTCTTTATTTTACATTTACAAGAGAACAGGTAACAAAACTAGATACACTAGTATATACCTGGTGGGCAGCAAGGTAAGTCAGGTTACAGATGCAGTATTGTGGAGTAGTTTTAATTATTTACATGTAAATTTTGCACATATGTATATCAGTAAATACTGTAGTGTCCTTTGGAGGTGCTGGCAGAAGTGTGCATATTTTGCAGAGTGAGATTGAAATCTCTTTGAACTTGTCCATGAAAGAATTACTGTATTGTTATATAAAATACTTCGTCATTCAAGTTGTAAATATTAACCATTGGTTAAACATACCTTCATTTATCTTTTGTCTCTAGTGTAAAACCTGTTTATTTAAGAAGTTTATAATGCATTTCTTCAGCTAAATACTGTACGTATTTAAAAGGTTAAATGGTGTCTATTTTTGATGCTTTTTGTATTTTATTCGTTTATTTATTACTGTAATTGCTGTTATTTTGTTCTATGGGAATTTATTGTATAAAATAATTATGAATTTGATACTCAAGTAAAGAGTTAAAAAAAAATTGCTAAGTTATTTGAGCATTGTTTCATATTATGTTGTCTTGTGAAATATTTAAGAGCTATATTTTGGCAGAGAATACTGTAGGTTAAAAGTTAATACAGTGATACCTTGACTTACGAGTGCCCCAACTTACTGAGTTACGAGCCGTTGCTCAGTCGATTTTATGCTTTGAGTTGCAAGCCAAAATCCGAGTTACAAGCGAGCTTCAGATATGCCGCCACTCACAAGACATGCTGAGGAAATATCAAAAACCTCAATACTAACCAATGTGTAACATCCTTTCAATTTTGATACCACTGGTAGTGTCATCCTGCTAGAATGTTCTATAACGTATGCCCTAAGTAAAGAGAAATTATTCTGGAACATGTAATACATGCTCGGCAGGCCAGTGGGTTGGGTGGCCAGCTGGTTGGCTGGCTGCTTTGCTTCGGCTGTCTCTATCTCCTCCTGTCTGTCTGTATGTATCTCTTTCTATCTGTGTGTCTAGCTCACAGGTACACACAAATACATGTACAGTTATACATAGTGTAAATTACCTAGTATGACATGATGACTCTGCATCATGTGTAATATCTGTTGGTTCATGAGCAGCTCTCTCTTTCAGACAGAGAGACAAGAAGGCAGAAACACAAGTAGACAGTAAGACAGGTAAGCAGAGACAAACATAGAGCTAGACAGACAAATAGACAGAAACAGATAGGCAGACAGAGATGTTTATGTGTAACAGTGAAAAATAAAGCCAAAGCAGTGCACGATTATCAAATGTCACTCCACTGCTGCACTGTCAGCAGTGGAGTGACACTCATCTTACACTGTTCTTCGAGGAGTTTCATAAATACTCCAGCATTTCTAAAACATTGCTGGGACCTGGCAAAAAAGGCAAAAATCATTCCTTATTTATAAATACATTTTTCTTATATAAAAACCCGTAACAAAAAAATTGAGGTGGTTTTTTTGGGGGGCTGCAACGGGTTAATGGCATTTCAATTAATTTCCATGAGGAAAATTGATTTGATATACAAGAAAATTGAGTTATGAGCTTGGTCATGGAATGAATTAAACTCTTAAGTCAAGATACCACTGTACTATGGCATAGTACTACTGTACACACTAAATACAAGAAAGGATTACCCTAACAGTATATAAGGTCAGGAAGAAGTAATTTTTAAAACTGGTTGTTACTGTGATGTACTAAATGCATTGAACTACATGAGAATATCCTACTTGCAGAGTGACTCAAGAAATCGTAATAGCACAATTGCAAACAAACCATGGTACGGGTGAGGTTAGAACCCATGGGGGAGATTCATCTGTAAAATGTTGCATTTGTGGTCACAGTGGGGCCCATGCTAACTTCCCTATGGTGCATAAACATATCTAGATGGATGAATCATCTTATAGCCAGCTGGCCCAGTGGCTTATGCACTGGCTTGGAGTTTTATGACTCAATTGCCATGGGTTCTGACTCCACCCGTATGGTGGTTTGTCTGCTTGCAGAGGTTTAAGAGATCAAGAAAAAGGGCAGGAAGCATCATGCAGCATCAAATTTGAAGGTGAGAAATTGTCACTAAGTTACTAATTTTTTTTTGCAATGACATTTGCTGCTCCACTCTTCTTGAATGCCCCTTCAAGGGGGGGATCCTATGTTGTGGCAAAGGAGCTCTTGATCTGAGGAATTGGACTTTTTGGTCCTTTCCTTAGCCCAAATCTAAATGCTCTTGCATCAGGAAAGAATGTCCTACTATGGGCATTCTTTCCTGTTTGCCCACCACCTTATTAGGTGAACGAATATTTGACTTCAAAGTTTGCACCTAAACTAACCCCCGTGTCCATTGGCTTCCATTCCCCTCTGTCTCATACTCTTGCACACATCCTTGCAGCCCTGTATGACCCATGAAGGTTTAGTGTTTGTTTTTTAATACAATAATGGCAGAACTGCAGTTAGACACACCAATACTCCACCACCCTCAATTTAAGCTGTGGGTCTGTTCTTATCCATCACTGTTGTACAGTTAAATTACAGAATGTACCCGAGATATTCAAATACTGTACAACTTGAGCTCCAACACCCTTTAATCGCCAAAGTGGGGGAATGTATGTTCTTTCTGATCTAGGGAAAAAAATATCCAAGCAGAGTGGTGAAATTAATGTTTAATTTGTATTTCTGACCTCTGTCTAGTAAGCAGGTTATTGTTTAACACTGAGAGAACTGAAACAGACACCTTAGTAATGCTGCAAATGCTGACACTATGGCCACCTAGCAAAGCATTGTCTGTAAAATATGCCCAGCCTATGGAGAGGCGGATCATAATCCATCCTGCCCAAATTGCAATGAAACGCCTCTCATACTCTCGTTGGTATCTGATTTTCCTATGAGTAAGATATGATATTCACTGTGAAAAAGGCTTATTCTGTACCACCAAGCTGTGGTTTAATTATGCCAGCAACATAAAATAATGAGAGTTGCTTGAGAGTGATCAGATTCCCTCAACACCTGGTGGCACACAATAAAATAACCCGTCCAAAGTGTTTACCTTTGATTTTCCTACATTTACATCCTCTGTTTGCTTTCACTACATCACAAGCTACACAGTATTCCAACCATTTCTGCAATACTACTACCACAATCTCAAAAGCCTAAAAAAAAAAAAATTTTGGACCACCCTGTCACCCTACCATTTCTTTTTTTTTTTTTTTTTTTTTTACAGACTCCTTTGGACTTGACTCTTTTTACATCTAAGACATCTGGAGATATGCATGCTCCCATGTACTCTCCTTCCCTCCTCAGATGCAGTGTGTTGAGCTTACCCTTCGCAGACACCGGACCCCCCTCACCACCAATGTCTGCTCCTGCCCCCACCGTGGGTTGAGTGCATTTTGTCAATGTAATAACCCTATCACCATTTCTACATCTTTCATCCTTCACATCAGTCTTCAGCTTCCCTAACCCTAGGAAAGCCCATAGAGCAGTCATCTGAAGCCCTCTATTCTTTCAACTACTTCTAACCATATTTCTTATGACACTACAAGATACCATACACACCTCTTGTTACCACAATTTCTTTTCCACTACTTTTGATCTTCTGTACCAGTATATTACTAATAAAAAAAAAATGTCTATATTACAATGGATTATCAAGATACAGGGAATCTGGGGGAGTTTTATTTATCATATTTATCCTGTATGTGTGTTAACAAGAAACTAGACAATGTTATATTCTGAGACTTTTCTAGCTATGTTCACCTCTTCAAGGGGGGCTCCTTGGCGTGGTGAAGAGGCTCTTGGTCTGAGGAATTAGACCTGTCGGTCTTCTTCCTCAGACCGAACCTAATTACCCCTCAATCTCCCCTCCCCTATCCCATCCTCCCCATCCTCTCCTTTTTCCTTTCCTCCTCCTCCTCCCCACCCCTCCCTTTTGCCCTTCCTCTTTTTGGCCTTTGGGATTTCTCCCACAGGCGCGCTAGTTCCTAGGTAGGGGAAAGGATACCGGGGTCCATCCCATTCCGTTGAGGTTCTTGGCGGTGGCGTAGTTTGCCTTGGAATCTGGATCGCCTGGGGATGTCCCGATCCCTCTCCGGTATCCAGGAGTAGCTTTGGGTGTCTTTCGGGCGATGGGTGTATCTCTGGAAGCCACCTTTCAGATTCCGGGGGTGGTGGCCGAAGGAGGTATGCTTTGTGGCGGATATCCGGCCGCCCTCTCTCTTGTCCACCGAGGTAGCTCGGCAGATGTGAGGTTGCTATCCCGGATTGTTAGTTTACTAGCATGATGGGTAGGGTATGGCACGGGTTCCATGCTGCATCTGCGCTACTTGCGGTGCTGAGGTCCTCTTGGGCGCGGAGGGAGATTTCTGGCCCTTTCATTCCTCCTAGGAACTATCCCTCCCCGGTCCCCCCTTTTTTATTCTTTTTTTTTATTTTTATTTTCTTTTCTTCTTTCTTTTTTTTTCTTAAAAACAAAAAGAAAGAAGTAACCTAACCATGGCAGCCCTAGTCCATGAATCTACTACCCCTGGGCCCCTTCTTGATACCGCACCCCGTTCTGACCCCGCCTCGTCTTTGGACCACTCTTCAGACTCCTCATGCCTCTGTACCTCTTGCCGGTGCTGTTTTCTCACCCGCTTCAGGTACTGAGGCCTCGACTGACTCCTTCGATTTATCGGACCTTCGCTCTCCTCTGACTATGTTTCCGGCCCCTCCCCCTACGGTGCGGCAATTTTCAAATCGCCGACCCGTTCCACGTCGGACCAACTCTGGTCCCACGCCTAAACGACAACGACAATTACCTGCTGATGATACTTCTCCACCTTCTCGTTCTTCTCAGAAACGATCGACACGTCCTTCACTACCTTTCCACGCTCAGTTTCAGACTGAACAATGGACTAAATTCTTCACTTTACGACCGACTTCCTCTACTGCCTATCTTTCTGACCACAGTATTGGCAAGGCACTCCTACGCCATGTTGGTAAAGATATTTCTTTTCATGCTCTTAAGAGCGGTACGTGCATCATCACCATACAGAATGCTACCCAGGCTCGTGAGCTCTCTCGTCTTTCCCATATCGATACTGTTCCTGTCACTCTTGAAAAACATCATTCCTTCAATTCTTGTAGTGGTACCGTCATTCTGCCCCATACCATAGTTCAACAAAATTTCCAGACATGTGGCACTGACATTATAGAACAGCTGGAACTCCAAGATCTCCCAATCCTCAAGGTAGACACTTACGTTCTTCCTGCCCGCGGGCGGAGATGATACCCTAGCAATGTGGCTCGTTTAACTTTTGACAGCTGAGAACTCCCATCCTCAGTTTATATAGCAGGACATTGGTTACAAGTTCGAAAGGTGATCCCTACACCACAACAGTGTAGAAATTGCTGGCGATTTGGCCATCCAGCGAAATATTGCAGATCTATTGCCGAATGCCCAGTCTGTGGTGCCGATGACCATTCTAATACGTCTTGCAATCGATCTCCCTCTTGCCTTAACTGTCATGAGGCTCACCCTTCGTACTCTCGCCGTTGTCAAGTCTATTTAAATGAGCGGGAAATCCGTTACCTCAAAGAGACAGAAGGTCTCCCTTATGCCATGGCAGTTTCTCATCTCCGCCTCCAAGGGAGACTCCCACGTGTTTCTTATTCCCGTGTTTCAAAACGTCCCCCCACTTCTGGTATCCCATCTTCTACACCCACCTCTGTGGTTACCTCTCCCATAGTCACTCCTGTATCTAATCCTTTTGCTGTCCTCGGCTCAGACGTCCCTACTTCAACGCCTCAGTCTGATCTCGCTTCTTCGTGTTCTGTCTCACAAGCCTCAGTATTGACGAGACCTCGTACGACATCTCCTCCCAATCGTCCCTCTACTTCTCAAAAGTCAAAAAAAGGTCCGTTAACACCTCCTACCCATCTTCCACCTCCTCATATTACCCTCCCTGTCTCTGCCCCTGGTTCTCCCCCTCTCACTGGCTCAGTTACAAGTGTAGAGGTTCACCCTCCTCCTCGTACTGTATCTTCCTCCCCTGTTCCCTCCCAAGTTTCTTCCTCTTCTGCCACCTCCCAGGTTTCTGCCTCTTCTGTCCTCTGCCATGCTTCTCCAGTTCCCTCCACCCTTTCGCCCCCCCCCCTACCTTGGTACAGTCCAATACAGTTCCAATCTTTACTCATCCTCCCCCTACCATTTCCAATATTGTCTCCCATACGACGTCTCTGAATTCCGAAACACTTGAAGCAATCTCTGAATATATTGCAGAGACGAAACCATCAATGGACACTGATCCACCTTCCGCTCTTTCTCTCTCCTCTGCTCCATCTGCGCAACTCCTTTCTTCACAGCGCACCGTTCCTTCGCTGCTTGAACGTTTTCCACTGCCTCCGCATGTGGACTTTTCTAACCCCTCTAGTCCGTAGGAACCCTCACCTGCGGATTTCAAGTATCTTTATCATTGCCAATCATGGCCTATTTACAGTGGAATATACGCGGCCTCAGGGGTAATTGGGGTGAGCTTCAGATGTTACTCTCCCAGTTTGCCCTGTTGGTGTTTGCTTACAGGAACCAAAATTACACTCTGCTGTTATTTCTCCCATCTCAGGCTATAATTTATTGTATTCTTCAGACCCTTTTCCTGATGGGACCTTTAATGAAAGTGCCCTTCTTCTACGCACTGATATTCCGTACCATCAGCTATTTGTTCATACTTCGCTGCATTACACAGCAGCCCGTATCCACTTACATAGGTGGTATACGCTCTGTTCTTTATATCTCTCTCCTTCTCGGGCATTATCTATTCCGGATATTGCCTTTCTTGTTTTGTCATTACTGCCACCGATTCTGTTACTTGGTGATTTTAATGCCCACCATTTCCTCTGGGGGGGGTCTCACTGTGATTCCCGTGGAATTCAGTTAGAGGCTTTTCTTACCACCCACCCCCTCCATGTTTTAAATACAGGTACTCACACCCATTTTGATCCTCGGACTCATACTCTCTCTTGCATCGATCTCTCAGTCTGCTCTTCCTCCGCCGCATTAG